GCTGGCCGATGTGAAGGCCGTCCTCAACGAACGTTCTGTTGGATTTGGTGCTTGTCTTTGGAGTGTGATGCGCCGATTTTTCGGCCAGACCCAAGGCCAAGCACACAGGCTACTGGTAATTCTTGTGACTATCTATATACAGCACACACATCTGTAGCTTGAAGTGACCATGACCGAGACGACTCCAGACCTCCCCCAACGTAATTCTGCCACTTGTCCAGGCGTGCATGCCCAATGCGTCCTCGGCAAGTCCTACACCGGCGCCAATGCTGGAGCAGACTTTGCGCATGACCTTGAGGGAGCAGCCGCAGCCTGCCATCATGAGCTCCAGCAACATCAGCTATCACGGCCAGATCAAAGATGATGCCGAGGTTTGCTGGGTCTCTTTTCCTGGTGCCTATGCGTCTGGCTGGGAGGCACTGGTGGGGCAACACAACGCAGACTCGGTGGCCTGTGTTTTCCTTACCACTCCGGAGGACGGTGCTGGCCCCAGCTTTGAGCCGTGTGTAGGCTTGTGACAGTTTGAGCTCGGAACGTCTTGGGCACTGACTTAGGCTTTGGGAAGCATGCAGATGATCCCAAGAATCCGGGCCAGTGTTATTGCTCGCGTATCTATGGCCGAAGGGACCATCGACAGTTCGGTTACCTCCAGGTGTTCGACCCAACAGATACAGAAAGGCGCCAACAACTGAAGGAAATCGCTAGGGTCACAAAAGCTGTGCTCATCAGCTCTGATGCAACCGAAGAGGCAAAAGCGGAGGCTGAAAGGCAAGCAGTTGAGCAGTGGCGTAAGTGCGGATGTGTGGCATCCTGGGGGTGCCAGTGGTTCCACAGGTGGCTCCATCGGGTCCGTGAAGCTGTCAGCAAGGGGCAAAAGCTGAAAGCTGTCTTTTTTCCTGGTCAGGTTGGGGAAGGCATCCCAAGCATGGATCAGCTGCGTGATCCTGGTTTCAACCCATGGGACGGTGTGGGATGTGGAGGCTCTCAAAAGGCCGAGCTAGCCACACTACACGAAGAAGGATGGAGCTTCGAGGGCGTGGACGTTACACAGTTCCTTCAGGAATCTTTCAATCCAGAAAGCATTGTCGACGCGCTCAGCCCAGAGGGCAGCTGGAAGCGCTCCATCGTGGTGGAGCAGCTGAAACCGCTCAAGCCTGATAAGGGCCTCCCTGGCCTCCCTCAGATACATTGGAGGGTACGGTGCCATGACGGACATGGCTTTGTCTCGTCCCAGCTTCGCCACACCACGGTAGCCGTCGATAGCTTCCGCACTCTGCTGGGCCGGGGCCCCAGGATTTGATTTGATGGCATGCGAAGGTGCTAGAGGTGGATCACAGACGAGAGCCAGGCATAAGGCGTTTCGGCCTATGGACGTCAGTCACATGATTCCTGATAGAAGCCATGAGCCCGAATGCAGACACACGCTACGTCCCGTGCGCAAAGATAAAACCACCGTGACCATCTTCCCAACTCTGTTTCCATATCTCTCTATCCCTGTCACTTCCTCTATATCTCTCTGTCTCTCTCTCTCTCTCTCTCTCTCGTCCTCTGAAGTTGACACTTATTTATATGATATATGTATGTGTATATATATATATACACACATGTACATACATTTCTCCTTCTTTAACATTATTTCTCCGTCTCCCTTTTTGAACACCAGGTGCACAATTTCCGATTCTCCATCCACTGAAGTCATTGCGCATCCCGACATCGTCTGGCAAGACGATGTTCCGCAGAACATGACCAGGGGCGGTCAAACATATCGCAAACACACAGGTTTCTTTCGACAACCGTATCCTGACTTCCAAGAAATAGCAGTGTTTTTTCGACTCGAACGAGCGCGCTTGATCAAATCCCTCGAAGAAAAGCAGACCTGTCTAGATTCAGCAGCAGCCCAGAGACAGTCATCGCTGTGTATGATTCTTGATTAAGATATCTTGAAGTCAACGATTGTTGCTCTACAAACCATTTCTAGTTCTAGCGAATATCTGAATAGTGAAGGCCAACTGCGAGAATGCATCGTTCCCTGCCACAACCTTTATCGGGCTCAGACAAGCTTTCGGCACGATCGTGGAGATCGTTAAGACACTAGACACTCACGTGAGCCTGTGCCAAGTAGCACTAGCACAGAGAAGTCTGCGCGTGGAAGAGTGAGCCAGACGTGAAGACGCACAGAGACACAGCGTGACAATAGCGATGTCGTCATTCCATCGCTTGCACAAAACCACGACATCATTTCTGCAAGCTGCTCTGCTGCCAATGTCAAGCATTCTTACCGGATCCTTGCAAGAAGACAACGGGCACGCTTTTTTGTTCTTCGCAGAGCTGTACCTCGGCGTCTCCACACACACATCAAAGCATGGCGATTTTCTGCACCTTTCGAGCCGGCGTCTCATCTGGATCGTGAGATTTGGACCGCTACCTCCGTTGTGTGTCGGACGCCTCAAATCGATTCAGCTCTTCGTCACCCTCTGCAACTTCGCCTGGAGTGTAGGCGTCGATTCGCAAAGTCGCCAGCTCTGCTCGGCGCCATGCGTTTGAGAGAAGGCGAAGCTCGTTTTGGGCCAGTGTTGCGGGAATCAGAGACTGAACACGTTCTCGTCGCTGAACTTGTAGAGCATCTTCTGACACACCGACAAATCCGCCTGAAATACCTATCTGTAGCACATGTTTTGGCCATGGCACATCCTGAGCTCGGCTTCAACAGGGTACCGGTTTGTGTCGCGGCCTTTGCCAAACAAACCAGGCGCTGCAGAAGAGCCGCCTGCCGGCTCGGACCCAGCCGAGACCAAGACGACCAGGCAGTTTGTCCGTTGGCAAGTCGCCCCTGCTGTCGCTCATCGTGTCTGGGATCTTCACGTCCATGTCTTTCGAGCTGCGCATCACGTTGCTGCAGTCTGTCATGATGACGAAGAGCTATGCGTCCAAGTAGACCATGCAACAGAGAGATGCTCGGATGCCTGTCACGCAGCCACTGCGCAAAGCACGGAATGTCGTCTCCTTCATCCATTGCTCGTGAAAAGAACAGCACGCCCTTGTTCGAAAACCTGAGTCGATGAACAACATCAGGGGGAATGTACATCACACAAGACAAAACAGCAAAAGGCAAAATCACAACGCGCAACGAGCCATCCGAGCGCCCAGTTACCTCAGTTTTGTTTTCGCCGCAAAGGCTTCATATCCTGCCGCAGCCGTTCAAGTTAGTCACGAGAAAGCACCGCCCCGGTCTTTGCCGGGCACCGAATCTACAAAAATGAAACGAAGTTACGACCCCTCGGATAGAGCATCGGCGTCCTTGCTCGACTCTGTGCTGGAAGACGAGCTCGATACCGGTACGCCCATCTGTGCAACTTCCGCACGAGTGGCTGACGTTTGAATCACATGACACTCAGAAATTC